GGGCAGTAAAAAAAAAAAAGTTTGCAAACTGCAAATGCTTTATTGAAAAATGGTCTAAATTATTAATTTCAGGCCAAATGATACCTGGTTTTATGTTTTTACAGTGTATTTTTCAATGTGCATTTTCATCTCAATGCATAGTCAGCTCTTCTCAGTAATCTCACTGCATATCAGAATGAAGGTATATGTTATCTGCTTAAACTGGACTCATGGGAGTTTCATCTTGTCTATTACAAAAAGCTCTGGAATGAGGTTTATGGATTGTGCATAAAGGCTTATAATGTATCATGCTGCTTTCTAATGAATAAACTGAACGTAAGCCAAAAGTTCTCTCTTGTATAATTCGTTTGGAATTAATAGAGTTAAATAAGGATTGAATATAGCTTTTCAGTTTTCTTTTTAGGCAAGTGTTTTGGCAATTATTCAAGCAATTATAGATATGTGCTTGTGTACACCCAAGCACAGACTCACAAGACTTCAACTTCCTCTCATAAAAAGTAATGTTTTTAAAAAACATCTGACAATAATGAGCATCAGCTATTCCTGGTAGATAAAAAGTAGTAGGGTTCCTCTGATACATTTTTCTGTACTGGTGACTTTTTACTGATTTTGTGCTTTGTATAAAAACTATCATGATAGCCCATTACAGCATTCTAAAGAGGAAAGAATATGAAGAAAAAAAAGGGGGGTTTTATCTTCTTGAGTTCTTTTCTACATAGGTTTACATTAAAATATAATTCTCTACTTGTTGAAATGCCTTAAATTCAACGCTGTCTTAATGCTTAATGTTAGTGTAATAGCATGCATTTCCTTTATTTCTGTTTTCAGCCTAGTATAGGCATTTAATATATTTTTAATTCTGAAGTACTGCATGAAAATATAAAATGCATTCTAACTTACTGTGTATGTGTATCTACACATATACACATAGATGTATGACTTTTGTAAGTAGCTCCCATGCTTGGTGCTTACAATGCTAAATGCAGATATGAAGTGCTCAAAATACAAGGCTAGCTTACAAACACAGGTTGGCAGTCACTGATAAAAAATATCAAGTCCCAAACTGTTTTCAGGTCTTCATAAGCATTAGAGGACTAGGTCCAGACCAAAATATTTAGCTTTATCAATACATCTGTGACCACAAGGAACATAGACAGATGTAATTAAGCCAGAGAGAAAGTAAAAGGTGGTTTAGACACCTTATTTCACATAAACCATGCAGTTTTTAACATTAAAATGTTAAAGTTGCAAATCCTATCTTTTATAGTGGGCTACTGTTTCTCCTATTACTCTCCTTCACTTGAAAACAGCCACTGAAAATAAAGTGCATTCTGCTATCAGTATAAATTGATTCGGATGAAGCAATTACATTAAAATGCCTAATTAAAATATGACATGATTTCTGCATTATTTGACATACATCACTATTGTAAATGGTGTTTCAATCTGTTAATGAAATACAAGAGCCAGCTCAAAGTAGATCCAGTTACTAGAAAATGTGCTTCCCAGAAATACAGTAATATACATTTATTTTTGCTTCCCAAAACGCAAAGCATTGATGTATTTTGAAGTATACATTAATAAACCATCCCCTCAGACTAAAAAATTTGCCTATTGTAAACTCCAGTATAGATACATATATGTAATCTAGACTAGTATAATTAAAAATAAACATTTTATTTCAACTAATTTATGTCTAGATAAAACTAACATGACCTTAGTCAACCACATTCTAGCCTTCATTCAGCATCCATTACTTCATTTGTCTGTATCTTGACCTGTGGAGAAACCAGTCGTTACTGTGTTAAAACGTGGGTAGAATGGATTATTTTCAACTGAGTCACAGTCCAAGATGCTTTGAAATAGGCAGTGGAAGCTTGATGCTGACTTACACTTGCTTGCACCCAAAAAAAGTTTAAAATACTGAAGAAGGAAACAAGAGCTTTCTCTCTCAGATGATTCTTACTTGCAAAATGCCAACATCACTATGGAAAAAAAGAAAAATTATATTCCCTGGGGAAAATAGGGATGGTGGGAGTATGATGTTTTTAAAATACCAAACCGAAGCCATGCCATCCATCTGAGGGCTAGATAAGGTTTACTGTTCATCCTGCAGTTCCTTGCCTCACCTACTGCTGCCACTTGGAAAAGATTTAGAGAGGCAGTGAGAAGAAGGGAATGTGGCCACTGTAATGGGACCCCATAGCTGTACATAAAAGCCAACAAGCTTATTCAAAGTGGCTTTAGTTGATGAAATCTGTCACCTGAAATTGGAAATAAATTTTCCTTTCTCCATTCTGAAGAGTTTAATGTGAATATGAAGAACAGAGAGAGTTAGGGGGTTTTGTTGGGGGTTTTTTTGGTTTTCTTTTTAAATAGCAATTCTGTTGCCACTGATGGACCATGTCACCTAAATACCCGTTGTTTTTCTGGAAGCCCCAAGAAAATCCAAAGGAAATACCAGCATAAAGTCTAATTTCTAGGTATTCTCTCTGCAAGTGTGGAACACTCCTATCTTTTTTTTCCCCCTTTCCTCTTTTACCCTTACTCCTATCTATCTCCCTTTTGTGTGTGGAAATAAGGGAAACAAAGCTGAAAGAATTTGTATATGTATGGCATTTGTTTGTTTTGCACAGAATACAATCACCTACTTAAAGGTGGAAGTCATAAGACTTTAAGTTAGATTCATGCACCATTTGCAGTCTTCTAAATAGGTTTCTTCAGATTGTTTAGATTTTATCTGGTATCTAGGAATAACATCCTAAATGAAGGAAATAAATGTAAGGAAACTATTTCCTTCCCCTAAGTAGGTGATACGAGATGGAAATATTTTGCTGCAATAATCAATATTTCTTATTTACATATAGAATCTGATTTTATTACAATAAAAGCATTGCATGCCACTTCCCATTCTTCCTTCACACAGAGTTTAAGACTGGTCCATGTTAATAACTGCCTGGAAATTGCCTTCACCCTGTAAGAAAGACATCTGAAGGTATTTGCTTTCTCCTATATGCTGCATGGAAATGACTTCTGTCACCCCTGTGGCATTAATCAGAATATCAACTGCTACACCTTTACACGTCCTTTGGAAGCACAAAGTATTGAGAAATATTTTTATGTAAATCTTCACTCTCCCCTCTTCTCCATTTTCTTTGGAGAGTTAATCCTTCAAGACCATAAAAAAAAACCCCACCAAAAACCCCCACACTTTACTGCAACTGTTCCCAAGAAAGAGGAATCTCTTGCCCTCAGTTGATTTAAGCAATACTTAAGACAGGAGAAAAACAATTCTGGTCTTGGTGATCATGTAGGATCATAGTATTTTCTCTCTATTTACAATCACTACAAATTAAATTTCAGTAAGGGATTGAGCAAAGAAAGAAGTTGTGACTGACTGGAAAAACTACAGAATATTGTGAATAGGAATAGCAATACTTAACCTGAACTACAGAAGGTGGCTTCTTCAAAGAGGAAGTAAAAATATGGCATAACAGTAATTTTAAGATGCTTCCAAAAGCTGTTCAGCAATAGCATTGCACAAGTACTATTAGTGGCATTGAATTTTAAATGTTGGGGTTTTTTTCTTTACTCAGAAAAATTGACACACACTTGTCTCTGAAGTTCAAAGCTGTGGTAAACATCAGGTAGCACAGTGTAGGCAACCCGAAGAGTAATAAGGTTTTGCTTCTGTCCAGCTCTTCACCCAGCAGTAGTTTTGCATCTGTGTTAATGGAAAGCCAACTAGCTTGAATTCATGCTCTTGAACTCTTGCTGCAACTGCGGCAAAATCCCTTAACTATCTGCTACAGCACCAGACTGTCACCAACAAATCAGGCAGAGTGTTATTGCTACCACCCCAAGATCTACTCCTAATGACTGGTAAAACTATTCTTATGGCACAGAAAGCTCTTAAAGAACCGAAGAGAAAGGACATTAATGATATTAATAATAACTCTAAAAGAAGACTTTAAATGCATCAAGCTTACCTCTAAATCTGCCTATCAATTAACATAATTAACGCTTTTCTAGCTAATAGCCTGAGTAACATTGGGATCAATCTATTAGTTCCACTTCCAAGGGAAGCCATTTGTCTTCTCTTTGATCCAGCTTTACATTATTCCTCACAAACTATTAGCTGTACTTAAATGATCTTTAATGTCTGCCTTACATAGATTTACTGAAACAAGTAATTTTAATATTACTCTTGCTCATTGTGATATTTCTTTTTCCCCTCAGAAAAAGTAAAAAATATTTTACTTAAGTAACAACTAATGGCTGCCTTCAAAAGACACCTCATTACCGAGGTATCACTTGCCAAGTGATTTATGTTGACCTTGGACCAGTTATGGTCATTCCTTGGCAAAGTGGATTCATTACATGCCATGAAATTACTTTTATGAATCCTTGAATTTTGCCACATCAGATCAGCCACCATGTTGTGACACTATCTCTGCTAGTGACCATGTTAATACATAATAAAATAATTTGTGTGCCTGAGAATAAAAAACTGTGTTAAATGTGCAAATAAATACTAAACAAATATTTTGTATCAAACATTTATGCAAAGATAAATAATTGTTACACTGTAAAATTGTCAGTTCCATTTACAGTACATCAACTACATTACAATGTATGAGAGACTAAAGGAAACAAAGAGGGTTTAACTACAAACAATCTTAAAACTGATATACATGGTAGATATTTCCCCATAAAAACTTCAAATGCTCTGTTCATTTCATTGCTCACAACTAGCTAACTTACATCTCTCAGCAAAATAAACACATACCCTTTATTTAGCATGGCATATTTTGTTACTGAATTAATAATCAAACTTTATATAAAAATGATCTGAACATTTGCCTCAAGGGGGAGCTTACAGTTCATTCTGGTAGATCCTTTGCATTTTCAAGCCATTCCAAGCTAATGTTCTTTGATGACATTATAATACAGCCTGACAGCAAAATGTTATTTTTGCTTCGTTTGCAGTCAGTAAATCATTATACCTCCATGCTACTGTCCTTCCTAGGCGTCTTGGAAATCCATAGTGTGGACTGGTTTGGACTGGTTTTTGTTCTTCCTTTACTGAAAAATAAAAATATAAACTATTTTCAGTGCATGTGTGCCTTTGTAGTCCTGATTCAGGTTCATGATCAGACCTGGGTATTTCATCCCCTATTTGAAAGCCATCTTTGTTGCTTTCATAGCATAGGTTCCCCAACCACAAAAGGGTCACGCCCATGCTGCACCAAGCATAGCACCGAAGCGGTGGGTTGAGGTAAGCAACTGTTACCAAAGTTACCAGGCCACCCTGCTTCGCAGCATTCCTCCCAGGAACCAAACTGCCTTGGCCTGTATTTCCCGCCCCCCCCTCCCAGTTCACATTCAACCACATCTACTCACACAGAGTGGTCTTTTCAGAGATGAGCGTGGACACTGTTTGACTGGGTGATGGGGAGACTGGGTACTTCCCTTGTCTGGGGAAACATACAGGGGATAGGAGCGTGCACACCCCCGAGCCTATGTCCAATGCGCTCAGGGTGCAGCCCACCCACCCCAGGGGGCCACTGCAACCCTGCCCACACACATCCTGGAGCTGCACCCCCGTGACCATGGTGCACTAACGGGTGCCAGCGTGTACTGGTACGCCAGAAAGCCTCTTCCCTTTAGGGCTTGACCTAACTTCTAATGAAGTAATGGTGCATGAATCAGACTCCTAGCAATGAATGACTGGTAGAAAGCTTCCTCAGGCCTAGTTTTCATTCAAAACTGTCAATAGTAGTTTTTGTGGTTTTTTTTTTTAATAAAAAAAAAAAAAGATAAAACTGGTTTCCAAAAGTACTTGCTCTGCAACACTGCAAAAATGTTCACTCTAATCTTTACAGGGAGCCCTGAGGTACCCTGTAAATTGATGCCAGTCTTTCCACGTGGCTAGCATTTCTGCTACGACTGCCACAACAGACCACCTTCCGTCACCTAGATGGCAGATGACAGTGCACTGCAGCCTACTGAAAAGGCACTTCATGAGCCACTGCAGCTGCATTTCAATCAAAATGTTTTTCCCTCTGGCCAGAATATATCACACTGATGTTTTTTTCCAATCAAGTAAAAACCAGAGGAGAAGTAGCCCTACATAATTCTGAGTTGGAAACCTGAGAGTCAAGAACCCAACAGTCCTATACATTCAGTTTTACTCCTTTCCTCGTGTGTAAATGTAAGCGAGTCTGAGTTGATTTAAAATGTACTTTAAGGGAGCTGTATGGTACAGTAGCTTTTAGTCCCTCCAGACTTACCTCTGAAGTCCTACAAAGTAATGCATTATGTACCTGAGCCCATTGGAGTAATTGAAAAGACTCCCATTGGTTTCAGTGGACTTTAGATCAGGCCACAATGCTATAAACAAAGCAATTGCAACGAATCAAGTAGTTTCAGCACTTCTTTAAGAAACTGATTCACTACTTCCTTCCCAATTAATACAGCAAAATCAGGCATATTTTGTAGATTAATGATGGAATGCTTTGACTGGAGCATCCTTGCCACACAGCAGGAACAATTGCTAAATACCTTGAATCAGAACTTTAGCTGTGTAAGATGAGTTTATCTTCAGCAAACCTACGCTGATTTTCAACAACTATACATCTGGTTCAGGAAATAGGTTTTAGTAAGAAAGGTAAGGAAAATGCAAAAAATAGCTTGAGCATATCACTGTTTTGACCATCAAACACAATCATAGAAACTGAGAAATATACCAGGTTGGAATTTAAACTTTCTGCAAGGCATTCAGATGATAATGGAGATGGGTCTTTGAAGCAGTTTCTCCTTGCTTCCCTGGAAGAAATGAAAGGGAGAGCATCTAAGCATGAATGAGCTGATCATTTCTACTAGCTACAGGGAAGATGTTTTGCTTTGCCTTATTACTACCCTTTAAGAGCCCAACGCCAGGCAAAATTAGTCATGACCTTTCAAGCTAGGCATGTCCTGGTTGGCCATGGGTTGTGGCTTTCAGAGGAAAGGTCACCATGTTGTGGATGCCTAAAAAAGAATGAGAAGTCAGGTTCATTTGGAAAGTTGGGGATCCCTCCTTCCCCAGCAGGACAGAGTCCCTTTCCTAAACCTCTACAGTGTCCAGATGATCAGTTCAAGTGGTTGCCTCTTTTTTTAATTTGCTTTTTAACCAAGAACTGTGCATTTGTGGTGAACCAAAATGATTTGCAAAGTAGGTCATATGTGGAAATATAACTGAAAAAGATGGGGAAACATTTTTTAAAAAGAAAGTTCTGTTTCAACAGATAAAAAAAGAAAATACTTCATCTTTAGTAATACCAGAATATCCTCTTTCAACTTAAATGAATTTTAAAGAAAATTTGTTTTATTTAATTAAAAGCTTTAGTGCAACCCAAAATGAACATTCTGAAAAAAAAAAAAAAAATCTGTTTTCATTCAAATCCATTATCTCCCTGATTTTTGTATCATTTAGTCTACCAAAACTAATCAGCTAACAGAAAAAGTACAATCTTCCAAGCTGAATTTCCAATATCTGTGTCAGGCAATTTTTAAGTCTTGGAAGTTCAGATGAATTGCATCTGGATGAACTGCTATAGCATCAAAGGCCTGATCAAAGCCCACTGAAGTCAACACTACTATTTCTATTGATTTCAGTGGGCCATGACTCTTTCATTGTTTTCCCAGGAGTATTAAGAGAGCTGAACCTTTTCTGGGGAGAGAAAGGGTTGCCAGAAAAGGTATGAACACATATGTCATACTTACCAAGAAATCAAGGTCCATGGTAATAAGGGTTCCCGAGTCAGATTACATATATAATGGCTATTGTTATACATATGATTCCTTTATTACTCTTTTTGCTTTGAGTTTCCAACCTTCTACACAGCCCCAGTGCTGAGGTTTGGATACAACCTTTCACAACAATGAATTTGCCTGCCATAAGACAGGTTGGGAAGTGCATGTCTTCCTTTTCTTTGTAGGAAAGTGCATAACATAAAGACACAATGTAGTTTATGATGCAGACCTCATAATATCTTTTCTTTATGTTCACTTGTTTCAACGAGACACATCACTAAGGAGTGCTGCAAACAACAGTGTACTCATACAGATATAAGCAGACTTGATATTTGGAGTGTTTTCCCACTTGAAATAAGGTATTTCTGTTGTTTGTAGAAAATGCTAAATAAAAACCACAAAGAAAAATACAGACTAAGAGTAAGGTGGAATTTTTTTTTCTAATTGCCTAAACCAGTGGTGTCATATTGCTTACTAGTATTCCTGCTCTTCAAGAGGGATAACAGCTAGTGAATCTGTTTATTACTCTTGTTATTTTACCCAAATAGTGTTTATCCATAAAACATATTTCAGTTTAAACTCTTCTGGATTACATTTACTTGAGAACACTTCCTGAAAAAAACCTACAGAATGAAAAGTATCCTTGAAAGTTTCAGAAAGGCTAGTTCAGGAAAAAAAAATATTATATGTTGTCATATCTTGGTATATCCTATTTTGAGAAAAATTAAAAGTCCAAAGAATTTTAAAGCACAGATCAAAACATATCCTGTCTCATGGGCCAAAATGTTTCCTATTTGCATATAATACATCTGTTTGATACTACATCCATGTACACACATCTACTTATCTTCTTTGATAGATACATGATGTACAAAGGAGTTGCACTGGCGTGTGGCTCAAAACATGGTTTTGCTTTTTGTTTTCAATTTCTCTGCTCCAGTGGCCCATCTGTTGCTCATATGGGATACGCGTTAAACAGCTGCTGGTGCCTTAGGTTTTTCCTTGGAAAAAACTGCACTTTTGGTCAGAAACTGAGATGAGTCCTTGAGCTTGCCCTGTGCCAGTGAGGATCCCACTATTAATCCCCAAGGCCCAGATGCTGTAGAGGTGGTAATCATGATGGAAGAGGTGAAGTAAAAGTGTTGACAGTAGCTCAGCATATCAAAGAGTCAGCAAAGATATCTTTTTCAGAAACAGGTGAAGTCCTAATGGCAATACACTGAGAGATGAAACTATTTCAGTGTATTGTGGAAAAGCCTGATGGTGAATGTTCAGCTGTAAACAACTTGGATTTTAATAGATGAAAAGATGCTTATTTGCATATTTGGGGACAGATGTAAGCAGTCTTTCAGTATGAATAGCTTGCCAATGGAAACATGAATTCTGCATTATAAGACCATTTTGGATTAGCATATTTTACCTTTTATGAAGCATCTGGAAACAGCAAGTCCCAAAAGCCACTAGTATCAACAGCAGTAGTGGTATAGTGGGTATTACAACGTAAATTAGATTTGGAATTATACCTACAAGACAAAAAGTTCTCATTAATGTCTCCCATGTTGAAATACCCTTAATAACATGAGTAAAAATCTGGAGTAAAACATCAGAAATACATTAAATTACACAGAAGAGCATTTATTCATGCCCTCTATAGGAAGAGCTCCAAAAAGATGACACGGCAATATCAAGAATAAAATAGTACTTCACCAGCAATGTGCAAAACATATCTGAAGGACTTAATTTCTGATATTTTCTATATGCATCAATGCAAGATTTCCAATTTTATAATAGAAAACTCAAATATTTAAAGAGAGTCTATTTCATGGCCTATTGTTTTTACGATCCATATAACCTGTCTACTTAGCGGCCCTTACGTGTTGGATTCCCACCCATGCAAGACCACAAAAGGAAAAAACCTTGCTCTTGTCTCCCCATTTCCCTTAAAAGACAAATGTACACTGTCCTTGACTAATGAGGAGAGAACTAAAGGTGCTCCCCTGAAGATCCCTTGGCAAAAGGAGTGGGAAATGGTTGAAACTGGCACTCTATTATCTGACTAGAACAGAGGATGGGGTCTACAACTTCCAGAAAAGGTCTGGCTGTTTTTCAGTAACTATATGCCCTTGTTTTATAATAGTATACATTTAACGTACAAATTGTGGAGACTTTCTTAGCCATTGTCTTCTTTTGAACATATTTTCCCTAGCAAGAATAAATGTGAATGTTCAGGTTGGGTTTGTTTATGAGTTCCACATAGACAGTCTTTCCATGGTTTGTAAAAATAGTGTTAAAATATAGTTCATCAATATATCCATTCCTCTGGAGTTACAAACAATGGGAAACATCAGTTAGGAAAATGGCTCAAATCCAGCCAACGAGTGTGGAAAGGGAGTGCCAGCTTTCCACAAGCCCATGCTGTAATCCTGTAAAATCTGGAGTTGCTCCTTAGAGATGTTCAATTCCTTACATTAAGGCCATGCTACAACTCTTCACAAACTGCAGGACTCTGTTCAGGACATAAGTTGCTGAATGAAGGAGCTGGGAGCATTACAGAAAGCTCCTAGGCAGTAGGTATCCATTTTCAAAATATCAAGTACCATCTCTGCTAGAAATCTCAGCAAAGCATTTAACTCCTTAGCATATTGTATTCCTTAAAACATAGGGTACTTGGGGGAGCTATCACACAGTGCTTATTCTGCAGACAACCGAAAACTTCATGCCCTATCTGTTAGGAGAGTTTCATTTGTGCCTTTTTTGTGAGCCCCAGCTATCAGGTATAAAAGATAACGTATGTACCACATGTTTGTTACACAAGTTGGGAAGAGGTGGAGAGGAGACAGAGAGAGGCAAGGCATAACTTACCATAGCCTAGGAGATGCTCCACAGCTGGGTGAACACGGGTGAAATCTCGCATCTTGACAGAGACTTACCGGGGTCAGAGACAGCGGTGCAGATTTGGATCAAAGTTTGGCAAGACATGGAAATACTTTGTTTCCACAGTTACAAAGAGGGCTGACTAAAACTTTTGAAATGTTATGCAAAAGTATACTTTTTCAGACAACTTCCTGAGGAAATAGACTGCTTTGTCCCATTGACAATAATAGAAATTGTTAAAGATTAATTCAGCTGAGGACTTAATATTTTTACCAGAACACTCAATTCATATGAACACGTTACCTGTTTCAGTAGCAATAACATGATACTGATCTTCTGGTTTGCTTGTGTCATAAGGATTTCCTGCTGGCACCGTTGGAAAAACACCTGAAAAGTATATCAGACATTTTAGGAAAACAGAGAGTACAAAATATGGCTGTTATGTTGTTAAATAAATTAATAGCAATTACATCTAAACTTATATTGGAAAAATCAACATTGTCAGATTGAATAAATAGCTGAATATAAACATGTAAAGAGGATTTTACTGCAAAATTAGGATTACATATGGAACAAGAATTATGAGCAGTGCTATTCTGAAAAATAGCCATATATTTGTAGTTATTGCTCTCCAAAGGATTAATTTTTCCTATGTTCCAGTACTAAACTATGGCTGTTAAACTTGAGTAGTTTTGGAGGTTCTTGTAAGATATCCTTATTATTATGTATTTACCATTGCAACTCAAGTTAATGTTTTGAAATTTCTTACCGTAATCTGGTTCTGCTCTGTCTCCTAATTCTTTTTCTAAGACATTATCTGTTAAATCAATAATTGAAATCAGTTGTTGAAGAATGAAAAGTGTGTGTAATAAAACAGATGTTTTCATTATTTTGCATGCACTATCACAGAAATAGATACACTCTTCACAACAATAATTGCTTCATTCTTCAGCATTTAATCTTCTTACCAAACACTATTTGCAAACTAGTGTCAAATCACTTCTAGTTCATACTTTTTTGCTCCTTAGAAAAGGGCTATAGTTTATTCTAGTTCCAATTCTTGGTGGCCTCTGCTAGGTTACTGGCTACATCACTGAATCACTTAATTTCTCGTGCTGAATAAAACTCCTACCATGTTCAAAGTTTCATTTGTGCAGATGATCCTAAAACAATATAAGAGAGGAAGTGTTCTTGATTAATACTTAAATCTTATTCACATTTTCAAAATAATGTTTACAGAATTTTGGCTATGAAGGAAAAGAAAGCAGCACAGGTTTGTGAGGTTAGATGCCAGCTTCATATAATTTGGTTTTGCAACAGGCAGCCCTAAAATACAAATCATGGGCAGTGGGTACTAACACATCACATACGGAAGTGAAATTACCAAAAGAGGAATGATAGTATCATATTTCTTGTAATGCATCAGGAACCGCTTCATGACTGAGCTGTACTGCAGAGGCTTGCAGTAGGCTTTACTTATGGCTGTTGCTACAACAGCTCACAGAGATTACAGAAATAATTACCTCATATTGAAAGGATGGGCATAGGAGCGGAATCTGCATAGTTGTTTGAATACCACGCCTTTATTATAAGATAATATTAATATTATAGTGCTATTAGCCAGCAGTTCCAAGAGTCCTGATAAACACATAATGCTTGGAGAAATCAAAAGAGCATTAAAGCCTACTTGAACATAGGCAATGATTTCATCTACTCTGCTAAAAACTGGCTACATCTGGCCACATAAAAAGAAAGATAGCAAAATACTACGAAGAACTGAGTTACTGGCTCTAGAGAGCAGAAGAGGAGATGAGTTTTTAATTTGATTGAGTAATCAAACCTACAGGAGCTGGACGGGAACTAAATGTGGTTGAAAGTACCAACCTATAATTAAATTTAAGATTGCTGAATGATCAATATGATCTAAAGCCAGACTGAACATTGCAATAGTAAATGCTGTCAAGGGAGGTACTATAAAGAGGGCTTTGAAAACCATGACTACCAGAAATGTAGTTGCTGCTTGAGTAAGACTGCCTAATAAGCACTGCCCTGAACTTATTGCAGATAGAATTATATGCAACTTCAGCATGGTCATCTACAACCTCTGCATTTTGGCATATGACTGGTATCATACACCGTATACTCAAAACAGACAGGAAAGTTGTGAAAAACAATATACTCGGATAAGAAAGTGAAATTCAATACACTTCTGGCACTTTAATGCCAGTAAAATGGATGTATTTTGTATTGCAAATGGCTGACATTGAAGCTATTACAGTGATTTGGGGGTAGGAGAGGAAGGTCATTTGTAAGCCTTACTAGGTTTTAAATAGCAAATGTAGTTTTCTTACAAACACTGTGGTACTTTTTTCAGGCAGTGAAAGAAATGTCATATACCCATTTATATACATTTATGCATCTACTCTTCTCCATGTGGTAGAAAAATACATTTCTGGAGAATAGCCTCTTTTCCTAAAGAGCACAATTCCAACAGTTTGAAAAGTAAACAGCTTCAATTCAGCAGTACTGTATTTAGCTGCATAACAATGTCAGTCCTAATAATATTCTACCTATACATTGTTTGCCTTAATATATGCCTCATTATACACTGGTAATCTATGTCTACATAGTGAAAGAAATATAAATTCATTTTCATTGTTACTGTTATCACTTTGTTTTCTGCCAATCCAAAATACTCAGCATTTTTTCAGATGGTGAAAGCAATAGTAAAAAACAACCATCACATCACAACCAGAATGGTAAGTAGTTCAGTATTACAGAGTAATTATTTCACTTAAATTTGTTTTTAAAGACATGAAATACACTTGAAACGGAGACCTCTTAATTCAACCTGCATTTTCTGACGTAAAAATTGTTATTTTTAACAACTTATGACACTTTTATTGTGTTCTCTTATTTCAAAATAATTGTTATCAGGTGTAAAAGAAATAAAATTGTATATATCATAGTTCCCTGAACGGCCTGTGTGACCCAAGTTTATAACTGATCACCATAAGACAGTGATTGTCACAAACAATTTTAGAAGCAGGAACACATTTGGAGGTGGGTGTAAAATGTGTAGGTATATGAAGCCTTCCAAGTATTTAATATTTGCTTGCAATATCAATTGCCATTAATAGCTCCATTAAGATATTAGACAGTGAGAAAGCTACCTATCCACCAAAACTGAAGGAAGAAAATAGCCTGGATCTCTACAGATGGATCTCTACAAAGACTGTGATTATAGCTAGATAATGAGCATAGAGAGGGTAGAAAGCAGGTACAAAACTGCAGAATTAGGTAGGTCAAATACCTGCCAAAAGTAGGATTTCATGGGTAATCTGACTTTCAGCTTAGTTTTTGAAAAGCAAACACACCATAAATTATTTGGAAATATTGTTTCCATTCACTGTAACTACCACCACAAGTAGAAACTGTTACAGGCACAACTTGAAAGTTTACTTTTCATGTACTTTTTCTGTTTGCACAAAGTTCTAGTTTATAGTTCATGTTTCCTCTACTGACATATACAGAACCTATGTCATGTCTGGAAGTACAGCCAAATTGCTTAAGATCTGGCTTTTTCTGTCACCATCTGAACTTGTGTGCATCTGCTTTTCTTATCTATAAATCTACATATATGAATGCAGAATTTTCTTCCTGCTGTTCTGGAGTTCTATTTTCTTTCTTTAAGTCAAAACTTTTATAAAAAGCCATCACACATAAGTTGGTATAAAATGTCAGATGCCTGAAAGTGCAAGGACATTGTGATTTTTTTTTTTTACAGTAGGACCAAGAGATGTCTTGGTCATCCTACTTGATAGCGAGCAAGGGAAGTAGTAAATGGCCACTTAAAACACTTTATGGAGAATAAAATAACAAGTGAATGAGTTAAATCAAAGTAAACAGTTGGGCTTGGTGATCTTAAAGGCCTTTTCCAACCTAAATGATTCTATGACCCTGTGATCCTATAAACGTGGGAATGTATGACAGTGAAGATAACCTTGAAAACATTCTTATTGGATACAGATAGGTTTACTTAAATTACTACTGGATTTGATATATTACATCCCCTGTTAATGTCAGCTCAGCTGCGCACACACCAAAGGAATCAGTACTACAGGCCACAAGACATTGGCAGATTCCTTCACAAAAGGCAGTTGTTTTTCTAAGAAAGTGTCCCACCTGTGAAATATTCGTTTACTTTCACCTACCTGGGCCATACTTGCAGATAAAATTGTGCTTCATGTTGCATCTATCATCATTCCATTGATAAAGGTATGGCCCTCCCAGACCAGGGTTTGCAGTTGGCTGATGATACATCACAACACAGGCTTCACTTCCACAGGAAGGCTCATCTGTATACCAATTTCTAGTGACACACATAAAGACAAACTTTCAAATTTTGAAGGTAAGGTTCATTAGGATGACAGGAAAAGGAGTTTACATCAGTGAAAACATGTGATCCCCCAATGATCCCATCCTCCTCAAAGATACACTGCATTTCCCACAACTCCTCTGTGAAAGAAATTTAGGGCCTGGCTCTACATCTCTGGATATTAAAAAAAAAATCTGTCCAAAGCACCTTTGCAGAAATAACACCCTACTGCTCCGCTGCCTCTTTTCCTTCCTATCTGACTCTTACCTGCCCCATTGTCCTGAGTTCTGTGAGCTGCTGCTACTCTGGCCTTTTGCTTAATCAGGAAAAGACAGGGTAGAAACAGATCAAGTTAGACTAAGAAACACGCATTAATTTACTTGGTGGCTGGCTCCCTGATTTGAGGTGGCCAGAGTCTTGCACAAGTTGTCTGACAGCTTTCAGACTACATCGTAAATCCTCTATGTGGGATATAAAACCTCCAGAAGCCATACAGAGGCAAACTCATGAGATGGGAGCAAAGAAAACTGTAGACTGAAGCCATACTATGCCATCCTTTTACTGCTTCAAATTCAAAACCCTAGTTGCCAGCTTCCTTTTATCTGGAGGAACTAAGGAGGGATGCTGCTAACTTCATGGGGCAGCAAGTCTTCAAGCTTCTTTCTAGAAGACTTGCCGGGCATTTCACTCTTT